TCAGTCTCATTCAAAACAGCATCATTTGTTAATCATTGAAGCGTTCATGTATTGCTTATTGGAGGTGCAGATTACCTTGACATTGTAATTCCAATTAGCTGGGAAGATGTTTTAGGAGTAATTAGACAACATAGAGTTAAAGAACATAAAAAGGCAGTGCAAATGAGTGCTTTCTCTTCTTGCAGAAGGGGATATTCTATTTCCTGATGCTTGAGATGATCTAAACAAAGAGATTCATTTTATTAGTGGCTTGGTTTCTTTAGCCCAGTACCATGACCTTATCCTGTTCAAAGAAGCTGCCACAGGGTGCTTAAGTAGAAACATACAGTATGATTTAGCATGCAGTTCAGAGAGGCCAGGTTCTCACATTGCATGTGAGGAAGTTCCCTTTTCGTTTGTGTGTCTGGGCTCTTCATTCGTCTGCATTAGAAGAGAAGAGAAATACTAGAGTCTTTCTGTGTTGCAGGAGGATGGCTTGCCCTCATACATAAAGTGTTTGGGTGGGGTGTGGAGGGTGTGTGTGTGGATGTGAGATCAGTCTTTTTTCAGCCACATGTGGTCATTGAGAGAAGGGGGAAACTTTCTGTGTTTCTCTCAGCTTTTCATAGTTGTGAAATTTTAGGTAGTTGTCATACTGTAGTCAAAACATGATTCTGTGAATTTTGGAATTGCTCTTTAATTTTTACGTAACTCTGTCTGGAACATTTCTGAGTACTCCATGAAAAGTGAGGATCCATCCCCTCGGAAGAACCGGAGAGGCATCGGGAACACTGAAACCTGGCCCCATGGGACCCTGGTGCCCTGCCCTTTGGCCCCAAAGCCGGTCTTAAAACCACCAGCAATCTAAATCCACCTCCAAACAACACTGAACCACTGCGTGGGCAGTGCAAGTGCCCCCATAACCCAGACCTGGAAATTCTCAGGTGCTGTGTCCTTTCTCCCTCCTCTGAGCTCTGGAGTGTTCTACAATCACATGACTTCTCTGCGCTTGGGTCACCTGATTAAAACTGGAAGCACTGTTGCATCATAAAACACCCTGTAATGGAAAATGACTGAATCAATTTGGTTTGAAAATGCATCTTTTATGGTCTTTTATTATTTTGTTGGGTTTTGACATGTTTTGGTACCAGGTAGAGGAGTGGAAGGAAGGAGATTATTTTCTACTTCAAAACAATGGATGGCTAGGATTCTGGTCCTGGCTTGGTCTGTAACTAGTGTGATATTAGAAAAATTGGCTAACCCCCGCTGTGCCTTAGTTACCTGAGATGCCAAATATCTGCCCGCCTTCCTAGCTTTGTTCTTGTGAGAGTAGGATTGGTGGCTCACACCTGTAATCCCAGCACTTTGAGAGGCCGAGGCAGGTGGATCACCTGAGGTCAGGGGTTTGAGAACAGCCTGGCCAACATGGTGAAACCTGTCTCTACTAAAAATACAAAAAATTAGCTGGGTGTGGTGGTGGGCGCTTGTAATCTCAGTTACTCAGGAGGCTGAGACAGGAGAATCACTTGAACCCGGGAGGTGGAGGTCACAGTGAACCGAAATTGTGCTATTGTACTCCAGACTGGGCAACAAGAGCGAAATTCTGTCTCAAAAAAAAAGAAAAAAAAAAAAGGAAAATATTTCTGTGTCTTGAAAATGTTAAAGCCACGGTGATTGCTCAAAATAGTGTGGTATTTAATATAAAATAGATACCCTTCATAGCCCGTTTGTGAAATTAAACTTAAAAGGGTCACATTGGGACATTATTTTTACAATTAAAAAGTTTTCTGTAACAAGGATTGAACCTAGGCAGGACATGATACCGGATTAATTGTATTCATACTGAGTGAGTTACAGATTTAGTCTATTTGTTCCTTGGTTTCAGAGGAGTCAAGCGTCAGAACTTAATGGTAGTTGTAGGTTCTCATTTGCTATGACATTTCAGTCATTAGTCTGATTGGAGCATTCTTTATCAGCCCTGTGCTTCAAGAGGAGGCGGAAACCACCATCCTGTTGGCTTGGCGGACGTCTGCCTGCTCAGATACTGTGTCTCTCCTCGAGTCCCCAGGGCCTGGGGAAAGGACAAGGGGGCAGCCAGCTGGGCCCCTGGGCTGGGGACCAGGAGCCCTCGCTCGGCTCGTTTCCCACTCATTGTGCGGCCCAGGCCCTATCACTCGAGAGGCCTGGCAAGGAAGCGAGGAGGAAGCCGGTGCCACTACTGGTTCAGAATGTTCCAGTGTGGTTGGAAAGTCTGAGAAGCAGCCTGGGTGAGAAGAACAAGACCTTATTGACAGGGTTCAGTCCTGGTCAGGTCTGTTTCACATCAGCTCTCTAAATAATCACAGCTCTTCCCACCTCAGGGATCTCCAGCACATTTACTTCTGGCTTTTTTTTTTTTTTAAACATTTAATGTAGCTATGGTAGAACACAAAGCATTCGAACTTTTTATTCCAAGAGAATGATTAAAAGTATAGTGTTGCCTGCTTCAAAATAAGAATAGCGAAACAAAGCCCAAACTTTGTACTTTACATGGCTTTCCAACCTACTGCCAAATTGTTATTCTTATTGCAAATATTTTTCTGTTAAGCTGTTTTCTCATTGATTGATTTATAGGGATATTGATTATCCTAAATAACATTTTCAATCGTTATGTAGCCCGACTTGGCTTGTCATGGTCTGAATTGGTCAGTGTCATTATCTAACTTAAATAATGGTCAGTGTCATTATCTCACATATATTTTAGATATGTAAAAACCATAAGAATTGTAAGAATGGGATTAAAAAAGAATATACCAAACATTTTCTCTTCTCCACGTGTATCTACAAACTGGAATATTTACCTCAAGAAGTCAGAAGAAAATCTGCTGGAGATTTTAGGCCTGGCATGGTGGCTCACGCCTGAATCCCAGCCTTTGGGAGGCCAAGGCAGGCAGATCACATGAGGTCTGGAGTTCCAGATCAGCCTGCCAACATGGTGAAAACCCGTCTCTACTAAAAATACGAACATTAGCTGGGGATGGTGCCACTCACCTGTAATCCCAGCTATTCAGGAGGCTGAGGCACAAGAATCGCTTGAACCCGGAGGCAGAGGTTGCGGTGAGCGGAGCTAACACCACTGCACTCCGGCCTGGGTGAAAGAGCGAGATTCCATCTTAAAAAAGAAGAAAAAGAAGAAGAAGAAAATCTGCTCCAGGTTTTAATGAACCACAGAATGTGTTCCTTGTATGCTTCGCCTTGTCATTCTGCCTGAATTTATGCATGACTTCTGCATTAATGTAGTAAACACTCGCTTGGCAGTCCTTTCATTTTCAGGACCCATAGGGTATCTCCAATTCCAGCTTTTGGTCAAGTAATAAGAAAAAGTTTTTTTTTTTTTTTTTTTTTTTCCCCTGGAATATCTGGTAGGAGCTTTTGAAGCTCAAAGGGATATTTAAAGCCTATTCAAATTGAAGAAACTGAAGAAAACCCAACCATCCCCAACCACTTTTGAGGACACGAATTTCCAGTGGTTAGAGCTTCTCATTTTTATCTTTTAGTCTGAATGAGATGGATGGGGACCCTCTAGTTGGGCAGAAAGCAGAGGAGCAATTATGGGATTGACTGCAAAATGTCTAACCAGTTTAAGAGGCTGGTGACTTTTTATAGCACCTCCAGAATGGTGATTTTTGAACTTTTGACCTATTAAATAGTTTAATTATATGTCTCTCATGCTTTCTGTCTAAAAGTGGCTCATGAAATATAGTAGGTCAAATGAAGACCCCTACCAGAAATTTTAAAAAGAATTATTAAGAACCAGTTGAGAATCTCTGTGTTTTGTCGGATACCTTCATTTTAAGGCAGGAATTAGCTATATGATTTAAGATTAATAAAAAGGAAATGCTTGTGATTTTACAAAAAAGAGAATATCTTTTTTTAAGAGTTCATATGTGTGTGTGCATAGTAATACAAATCTGATCCCCATCCCTGCTCCCTGCCACCTTAAAACCCTTTCAAGCCTTCAGTGATTTTCCAGAACCTTTAGGGTTAACAGCCAGCTATGGCCATTGCCTAGAAAGGCCAGCTGTCCAAAGGTACTTGCCTTCCTCCACGTCCCCTGGCCTTCTTTATTCTGCCATGGAGTTTTTTCGTCCTCACACTAACCCTTCCATGTCCCCAACCCACATAGCTCCCATCTTATCCATTCCCCAGTGGTTCTTTTTCTCTTTCCCGCTGGAGACAGGGTCTCCCTCTGCTACCCAGGCTGGAGTTCAGTTTTGCAATCATGGCTTACTCCAGCCTCGAACTCCCAGGTTCAAATGATCCTCCCACCTCAGCCTCCCAAGTAGCTGGTACCACAGGCGTGAGCCACCATGCCTGGCTCATTTTTAAAGATGTTTTAGACTGGGCATGGTGGCTCACACCTGTAATTCAGCAATTTGGGAGGCCAAGGTAGGAAGATCACTTGTGTCCAGGAGTTTGACACCAGCCTGGGCAACATAGTGAGACCCCGTCTCCACCAATTTTTTGTTTTGTTTTGTTTTAATAGTAGTAGGGTCTCACTGTGTTGCTCAGGCTAGTCTCCAACTCTTGAATGCAAGTGATCCTCCTGCCTTGACCTCCCAAAGTACTGGGATTACAGGTGTGAGCCACTGCACCTGGCCCCCGATGATCTTTTTTAACAACCCCCCAGAATTATTAAGATTTCTTTATGTTGCTATGATACCAAGGCATTCTGCCCCCATATTTTGCATGTTTCACACAACTAGTAAGTGGCAAAACCTAAACCCAAATCCATCTGATTCTGGAACTTCATGCTGTCTGTTGATGCTTATCACTTTCCTGGATTTCATTTTCATCCTCTGTCTTCTGTGGAGCTCAAATGAATACTGTTTGTGAAAATGCTTTGTGTATAGTGGAACACTATGTGGTATTTATCGACATTATAGGTAGCCTTTTAAATGCTTTTCTCAAAACTCTTTGTCTCGACCACCTTTCTATACCACTATAAGACTGACGTTTTGCAATTTTTCCTTTCTTCCCAGGATGGTTCCTACCTGGCTGAGTTCCTGCTGGAGAAAGGCTATGAGGTGGGTGACTCAATGGGAAGCAGGCACAGGCTGGAGGGATTGCTCGCATGCAGTGGCCACATGCTTCCTCTGCTGCCGTCCTCCTGAGTGTGTTTTCCACTGAAACGCAGATAACAAATCAGAATCCAGGGAAGAATGTGTCTTTGGGCTTGTGAGCCTGCCAACCCATTGTGCTGTTTATCTGCTGGTGAGCACTGGTGGCTCCCCTGCACTCACAGTGTTCAGCTGTGGTGCACACTTCCCACATTCTCCGATAACGCAGCAGCCTGTGCAAGCTGAAGCTGTAACATTATTCGGGTTAATTTATGATGTAATGTGTTTCATAAGAAAGTCTTACTCACGGTGAAGTCACTTAATTCAGAAATTACAGAGAGCAATAAAAACCAAGCTGATCGTTGGCAAACGAATGAAAAATTTATACCTGGAGGTTTTCCTTTCTAAAAGGCAACCATATATTTTATGGAGCTGAAACTTTTAGGTTTGCTGCTTTTGTCGTTGTCTTCACTATTTCTCTTTACTTTAAAAGAAACAATAGTTTTATATATTAATTTTGATGTGCTAAGTATGTACAACTTAATTTTTTAAAGAACGTTTTTCAGATATATACATGTATATAAATTCATGCTATAACAGAAAAAAAAAAACCTTTACAGTGGCCCATATGCTCTGATCTGCTTTATGAATGTTTACATTAATAATTTAGGATTGTCTGTTTATTCTAATTGTTGGTACATTGTTTTAAAAATGTGTAATTTGGGCAAATGGAAACACAACAGGAAAGAATTTGGCATCTAAATGCCAACATTATTTGAAGAAAAAAAGTTAATTTCTTTTAACTCATAATCTGAGAGCCTTGACTTTTAGACTTGGAGAAGTAACAGTAGATGTGTTTAGCACCTTCTGTACCCTTTTCTAATAGCTAATGCTACATTTTTTAATTATATCAAAATAAAACAAATGGAATTATGAAAGTACATGTGCATATATATGTCCATATGCATAAGTTGCTATAATAATCGAGAAAGAAATACAAATTCTACAGAGCAGAGACTTTTAGAGTAGGTTATGTGTAGTACAAAGTGTTGGTTTTAGAGAAAGACCTATATTTATTCAGGCTAGATTAACCTAAGGCCTGAATATCTATTTTTTTTTTTTTTTTTTTTTTGAGACGGAGTCTTGCTCTGTCGCCCAGGGTGGAGTGCAGTGGCCAGATCTCAGCTCACTGCAAGCTCCGCCTCCCAGGTTTATGCCATTCTCCTGCCTCAGCCTCCTGAGTAGCTGGGACTACAGGCGCCCGCCACTACGCCCGGCTAGTTTTTTTTTTTTTTTTTTGTATTTTTAGTAGAGACGGGGTTTCACCGTGTTAGCCAGGATGGTCTCGATCTCCTGACCTCGTGATCCGCCCGTCTCGGCCTCCCAAAGTGCTGGGATTACAGGCTTGAGCCACCGCGCCCGGCCCTGAATATTTATTAAAAGGAATAGCTTGGCAGAGAGATGCCCATACTGTGTTTCAGATGTTTGGGACCAGCTGAGAGATGTTTGGTGGCTAGAGAGGAATTAGTGATGTTGTTGTGTATTGAGTGAACCTAGGAAAGGAGCTAGCTGGAGCAGAAATCGCTGCACTTGTGAAGAGTGTAATTTGGGCAAATGGAAACACAACAGGAAAGAATTTTGAGTGAGGTGGCATGTCAGAAGTGATGCTCAAAACCACATGAGTGTTGGGATTCGCTCTTTCCGGGACAAGGTGGGCTGAGACTGGAGGTGAGGGTGGTGGTAACAGGCAGCGCCTGTGTTGGGATTCGCTGTTCCGGGGACAAGGTGGGCTGAGACTGGAGGTGAGGGTGGTGGTAACAGGCAGCGCCTGTGTTGGGATTCGCTCTTCCGGGGACAAGGTGGGCTGAGACTGGAGGTGAGGGTGGTGTTAACAGGCAGCGCCTGTGTTGGGATTCGCTCTTCCGGGGACAAGGTGGGCTGAAACTGGAGGTGAGGGTGGTGTTAACAGGCAGCGCCTCTGTCTAGTCCAGAGGAGGAGGGAGCACGGCTGTGCCCTGCAGTGATAGTAGACCCAGTGACAGTGACAGAGCGAGTTTGGATGTGTAGATGGTAACCATTCTCAAGCATGTGGTACTGTTAGTGTTACTCGAAAAGGCAGAGAAGCAGATCTCTGTTTAGGTGTCCCTTGTTAAGGAACTAGCAGACTTCAGAAGACAAGAAGGATGAGAGATTTGCAAATAGATGTAACAAGAGCCTAGGACTGCCTGATAAGCTGCAGATGTTTTTGCGGTATTTGAAATTGTAAGAGCAGATTTTATTCTGATACAAAAAGACAATAGAAGGCCCACTTGGCAAATCATAGTTAATGGGAGGAATTTATCACTGAAACAATGGTTGAGAGAGAAAACAGGTTTAGGAGAGAGAGATCCGTAAACTCATGGAAGGGATCATGGTTGACACTATAGTGGGAAAGTACACAGCCACAAAGCATAATCAGAAATTAATTCTCTTCCTAGTCCGGGGAAATGTGAGCTGTCTGCATATTGTGGGACTGTAAGTGTGTTTATCCGTACTGTATTCAATTTTAATAGGCTGCTGTCCTCAATTTCAAGAGATTGGTGTAATTGGAGAATAAACCATTAAGAGGAATCTGATGGTGGCACAGGCTTTATGTTTTTATGCTTATGTCGAAGTAAATGTTAGAGTAATTTTTCAAATTGGCTGCATTGGAAAATTTCCTGATTTATCAGTGGCATCCCTGATTTTTGAAGGCCATGAGTAAAAGAATAGGATTAGTAGATTGCATGAAGTAGGATGAGAGAGGGACGTATTTTATTACGTGTGAACTTGGGGTGGGGGGCAGTGGTCGTGGTCAACATCAACAATTTTGGATTCTTAGAGACGTCAGGCTCTCCAGCTTTAGTGTGCATCAGAATCAGGCCCTGTTAAGACACAGAAGGCTGGTTCAGGGCTCTGGGAATTGTTCTTTCTAACATGACCCCAGTCAGTGTGACATTGCTTGCCTGGGTACTACGGATAGAGAAACCATCACAACTAAAGGTTTAGATGAGATCAGGTGATTGATTGAATCATATGATGAAGTTGAACGAGGTACCCTAAGACGTTTTAGATCCGTGAGGCCTTGCTTCTCTGGGTTACGTATTGTTTTGAATCTAGCCTTTGTGTGAGGTATATTCCAAAGGTCAGGACAGCTGGAAACAACCTTCTTAGGGACGGCAGAAGGTACACCAGGAACAGATCAGCCCTGTGAAGAAGGGGCATGATGCTGAGGCTGAGTTGTTCTTTCTAGAAAAGCAAGGCACACTGGTTGGTTAGCAGTGGTAAGGCCAATTGTGCATTTTGAAACTGGGAAGCATGGGCAATGTGGAGAGGCCACAGCCACCTGGAGGGGAGTGTGCAGGAGGGCAGGGCTAGGTTGGTGGGGTCGTGATGATGGGTGGTGTAGGCAAAAACAAACCCTGTGTATGGAATTCATGTAGCGCAGTTAGACGCACTCCTTTACTTTTTCTCCCATTAGAAAAGCAAAATGAAAGTACAAATAACTTAGCTAGCCTTAAAGCAAAAATAGGCATTTGCGGATGACTTGAAAAGCAATAGCGTATACTAACAGACTGATTAGTTATGGTTAATCACTTTGTATCACCTCACGCACATTTAGATTCCTGAAGCCGTGGGGCCTCGCCATCAAATGTGGCCACTGAAATCCACATCTCTGAATGAACCGTTTGAAGTGAAAAAGTGAAGGGTTACTTCTCACTGAGAAAAGCCTCAATTTAGAAGTTTAAAATGACAGTTTTTAATGTTGTTGCTTGAATTTTGCTCAGGATTAAATGTTAAGGAGAGCATAAGGAGAATGGATGTAACAGTCATTCATTCTTTATTACTTATAGGTGTCATCTCATAATGAAGAAACCCAAAAATTGTTGGGTTTTATGGACAATCACTCTTTGATACTTTATACACTTAATTCTACACATTGCTGAAGTGCAGAGGATCATTCTCCTTTATCCCTGTTGTCAGTACAGAGCCAGAGGGGTGGACAAGGTGGTTAGCTCGCTGTGGCAAAGGAGCCTCAGACTGGGCACTGGACACCTGTGTCTCACTCTTCCTCTGCCACTTGCAGGCTCCGTGACCCTGTGCAAGTCACTCGTCCCCTCTGAAACTTAGTTGCCTTTTCTGTAAATGGGGTGATAAGCACACCTATCTCCGGAGGTGGTTGCGGAGATTAGATAAGACAGTACGTGGAAAATGCTTAGCCCAGTGGAATTCTGTGAGACTCATGGGCTTATTGATACGGAGCTGGCAGAGTGACATGGGGTCTAATGTGGACAAGCCAGTGGACACGGATCTTTAATCAATCGGCTCTTTAGTTGGATTCGTTTATCAGCATTCCTGAGTAGCAGGCATGCTCTGTTGCCTAGGATGCTGGAGCTGTTTGCATTTCTTCCTGTCACAAGGGAAAACGGAGGATTGACAGAAATGAAGCTTTTTATGAAAGCGCGTTCTAGTTCCAAGTGTGTTTCCAGCACCACTGTTAGCAGATAAACCAACAACACACTTTTGTACCCATTTTGCAGTAAGTACAGAGGAAAACCAGAGAAGTAAAGACAATGTTGAACCCTTTAAAAGCTAAAATCTGGGACTATATAACAAATCTATATTGAATAACTCAGTAACAGCTACAACACAATGTATCAGAATTTAAAATAAAGAATAGGTAAATTGTGACATGAAGGATCAGCATAGAAAAGAAATGGATGTAGGGATAGTCGGGTTGTTATCTCTGGGAGATTTTTTGTTAGAACATGGAGTTGCTATACTTTCTTAATCTATGAGAATCCTTCAACTATTTTTCCTCTGGGTTGTTATCCCAGAAGCCTTTATACTTTGATTAGAAAAAAGGCGAAGCTTTTATGGATTTCATTTTGAAACTATACTGAGTGTTGGCAGGGTTGACCAAGTCTATGTTCTTTAACATTGCCGCTTACTAGCTGTGTTATCTTAGGCAAAGTCCTCATTCATGGAATGGGACCAGTATTATTATAGTAGGGTTGTTGTGATGATTAAGTCATTTAATACAGAGAACAGTGTCTAGTACATGATCATTGCTGTGTAAGTGTTAACTATTGATATTACTTAAATAATCTGTACTTTTCAAAAGGTGAGTGACATTAACCATCCCTGGGAGTCATCCTTGCCTCCAAGAGAAATCTAGACACTAAGAATTTGAAATTCAGTGATAATAATTTTCCATTTTCTTGATCATAATTAATAAATAATAAAGCATTTCTGTTATTTTCCTGATCTGACTGTGGATTTTGAAGTTAAACCAACTTTGTTTTAAATGGAAAGAACTTGAAATTTTTCTTTTTATCACCTTGTTAAGTGGGACATGAAATTTGTCAAAAAACTCATTTTCATTTATTATAAGACCTCAGTGTTTCAGAATTATATTTTGTGTCTGAACTACTGTAATTTTGTAATGATTTTGATTAAGTTTATATAAAGCCAAATTCAGCTCTTTTATCTTTTCAGTTTGGTTCCTAATACCTCATATCTTTTTCTCCCAAAATCCTTATAAAAACAAACAAAAAGCTCTATCTACATCCCTTCTGTAAAGAGAAAGCCGCTAATCTCAAATTCTTAACTAGATGATGCAGTTTGCACACATTTTGGCTTGTGTTGAAGTCTGTGTTTCACCTGTCTCAGAAGCAGACAGACCTAGCTTTCATTGGTTCTTAGAATAATACCTGCCGTCATGGATTAAGCATTTGGCCGGCCTTTCTTTCCGTGTGCACACATACCAAATGGTGGGAGTTAGAGGAAATTAAAACCCTTGATTTGAAAAAAAAAAGCAACCAGTGCTTAATGCTTTTGATTTTTAACATGACAGTAAAGTCTTGGTTGTGATTGGCTGTGACTTCATGTGGTTGTCTGCATTTTACATGGAATGCATCAAAATCATTTCATATTTTTGTCAAAGCTTTTTATATTTATATGTAATGAATACATATTAATAAATGGCATCTCTCTATATTTTGGGCTGCTGGAATATGTGACTTCCCCAGAATCCAGCAATCCAGAGAAGATAGCCTAAATAACACTATTGTTATTCTTTTCACTGTCTAAGTTAAATTACTGTTTTTAGAACATAGACATTCTTTTCTATTTAATAAAACAGAATTTACATCTGAGAAATCTATTTCAGAAGTAACTTTGATAGTAAACACAGGTTTTGCTATGTATAAGTATATATGTGAAATACATACTTTTTGTTAAAATTGAGTTTGTTGAGCAGTTCAACTTTACAATTAACTAGCAACCTGAAAAACTGGAGATCATGAAGTAGAACAGATAAGCTTAATACTGGTGTTTTCTCCACGTCTAAATTAGGAAGTAGATATGTATAGCCAGATCTCAATTTAATGCTTCCTAGGGTTGAATGTTTGCCTCCTCAAATGTCAACCAAGTTTGTGAAGTTCCTTTCCCAAAATATTTTCATGTTTACCAACTTCTCTTGGGTTTCGTTCTTTTGGAAAATAATGTTGATGAGTGCTTTTCTCCCAAAGCAGCTCACCAACAGAAATATTAATTGTGGGTGTGTTGTATCTTTCGCAGAAGTCAATTTCTCATGTATGCCATTTAAAATGATGACATTTCTTTCTGTTTGAAAGAAAGTCTTATATTCTTATAATTTACCTCCAAATTTGGAATATTTGGTCATACCAAGGATTAATTTTGGTTTGAAATAGAAACGATTGAGTTAAAATATAGAAGTATATTCAGCTGCAAATGAACTTTTCAACATAAGAAGGAACACTTCTAAAATAAGTCAAGGATTAAAACTGCCACCAGTAGAACTGGAACTAGGGCAGCTGGTGACATAAGCTGGTGTTAGCATTGGCAGCACAAAGGGAGCAATCTTGACATGAGAAGGAAGTGGGACCAGGTCTGGAACAATTTCTCCTGTGTTTTGTACACAAATAGTCTTTTCTTTAGTATCAGGCAAGTGTGCATTACATTCCTGTTCTACCAACCTTCACCCCGCCCCCACCTATAGTATCAGGCAAGTGTGCATTACATTCCTGTTCTACCAACCTTCACCCCGCCCCCACCTATGGTATCAGGCAAGTGTGCATTACATTCCTGTTCTACCAACCTTCACCCCGCCCCCACCTATGGTATCAGGCAAGTGTGCATTACATTCCTGTTCTACCAACTTTCACCCTGCCCCCCACCTATGGTTAAGTCAAGAGAAAAAAATTTTAAAAATCCTCTCTTCGTTTGAATTTTCTTTAGGTCTTAGATCGAGTAGTACATAAATGTTGTTTCTTACCCATGCTCTTTAGCTTTCTGTCTTTTCTACTTAGCTGCCTAATAACATCTGCTCTCTGATTATGTCTGTGGCTCCAGAAATACATACAGTAGATGCAAAATGCAAGCTCTGAGGACACTGAGAAGATGTGATGGCCTTGTGCTCTGTGTTAAGCAGGCCACAAACGCCGTTTTACCGATATGGCCTCGCATGGTCTGTCTTCAGTTTCAAATGCAAGAGATATTTTTGTCAGCAGTTAGGCTGTAAGTGTGTGTGTTTGGAAAAGGAGATGTTTGAGTATCTACAACTAAGCATGAAGTCACATAATTACCTGATTACGTTTGTTGAGATTGGCAGTAAAATCACTGGGGAAAGACAGAGGTAGGATGTTGGTAGCTGGTGGACAGTGGTTGGGGAGAAAGTAAGCAGTGGGACTATTTCTAATAATTTAAAATGATGCTTAGAAATCATTTTTTTCATAAAGCTAAACATTAGCTAAAGAAGTTGTTTATTAGTCTTCATTGCACATTTATCTTTCCACACTGTAAAAACTCAGGTCCATGGAATTGTACGGCGGTCCAGTTCATTTAATACGGGTCGAATTGAGCATCTGTATAAGAATCCCCAGGCTCACATTGAAGGAAGTAAGTGATTTTCTTTTTCTAGAATCTCTTTCTATAATGTATTTTCAGATGTTCCTATATTCAGATAAGGTGTTTTCAAGTATCGTTTTTGTCAGTGCCCAACAAGTCACAGTTATTTACGCATGAATCACTGCACTGAATACGATTTACATGTGTTGAAAATCTTCTCTGCTCACTGCCCTAGGCCATAGTGTCCTGGTGGTTTGGCTGTTAGAAGGCTGTGGAGTAGATGGCTTAGAGAGACCAAGGAAGGGCATGCCTTTGATCACCCCTCTGCAGGTGTCCTTATTCCTTCAAGTAAGAGCAGTTCCGTACTGACAGTGCACTGACCCACTTTTTATATTTGATCCAATTTAATCAACTTAAACAATCTTTGTACATTTAATTATTTTTAAAAATGATTTGTGAAGATAGGCCCAAATAAATGACAATCAAAATGTTCCAAATTACTGTCATCGTCAGTATTTGCAGTTGTTTTGCTGCTTTTGTTAATTTGTCTGTATGTAGCTGTATAGTTTATATAGCACAAGCCGAATGTTTTCTTGTTTGAACTTATGGCAACTCCTGAGGTGGATGGGGAGACCCAGAGAGCATTTTATAGTTGAGGAAATGGAGATAGAGAGGTTGTGAATTTTCTGAGGTTGCACACTGTGAAGAAGGCAGAGCTGGCACCAGGACACAGGGATTTTAACTCCAAGTTCAGCCTGCATTATGTGGCCAGTTTTTCCAGCCAGCAAAGACAATACACTCAGCTTGTAAACCATATGTGGTTTTGTGTTCACCCCTCAATCCCTGCATATTTGAAGGTTTGGGTTACTTGTATAGATAGTGACAGCATCAGGAAGATGGTGCAGTAGTCTCCAGTAAAAGGCTTTTCACTTTAAGTCATTAAGTGCATTGTCTTTGAAACTCATTGTTTTTGTGCAAAGGTCAGAACAGGCCTGCCATTGGATCTAGATGTAGATCAATATTTTGTAAAAATGATGACAATATCAGGTTAGTAAATCACCCTTCCACGTGTGTCAAATTCTTGTATAATGAAGTCAGTGTAAGGATCTGTTTAGATTTAGGAGATCAAATAGGCTAGTTGTCCTTTAACCAGTTATGTCACCACATCAGGCATTCATGCAGGGCCTACGGATTGATGTTTATAAGGTACTTAAAAATTACTAGATAAAAGTGTCTAAAGAAAATAGAGTCGTCTTCATCATCATCAGTGTTATAGATTTCTTTAGATGGTATACATGTTATCACAATGTTTTCTTTTTTTGAATCTCATTCTTACAGAACACATCTTACAACCACCTGGAGCCCTAAGATATGTTATTGTATAGTATGTTCATGATACTATGCTTTAAAAAAAGTTTCTCTGAGTTTACTACCAAAATCTTTTACAGACATAGGCATTATGTAGCTCTCTTTCTATTATTTAGGTTAAAGATTACAGTTATGTTCTGCTACTCCAGAACCATCAGTACAGCATTTCCATTTTGACCCTGGTTTTCAGACTTTCCAAATATGCATTTCAATTTTGATATTTTAAAAAATTGAGTTTATGTTGCTTTTCTCTATCTAATGGTATGTTTTTGTATCCTGAAGACATGAAGTTGCACTATGGCGATCTCACTGACAGTACCTGCCTTGTGAAGATCATTAATGAAGTAAAGCCCACGGAGATCTACAACCTTGGAGCCCAGAGCCACGTCAAAGTAAGCCTTTTCATTATGATTTCTCTGGCTATGTTTCTGTGGTGTTCTGTATTTTACTTGTGTCTGTTGCTTCTCAGTACAGTAATATAATCACCGGTCTTAGTCTTCAAGTTGAATTGTCAGTGTTAGTTTGAGTATTAATCCTAATTGAAGTACTCATAGATTTTTTAAAAGTCTCTTGTCTTTTATTGAACAATATAATAAAACCTTACCACTAATATTGAAATAGCAGTATTTGTTTATTTTGGGTTGTTCCCTGTAGCCGTGAGCCCCATGGATGTGTTTTCTGCCATTTCAGATAACAGATTGTGAATTAAATGTTTTGTTAAAATGTTGGAAGATATAACTAAGTAAAACCTTTATTTTAATATCAGTTTTTGGTAGTGACTGAATTACTGGCTGAGAGAATATTTTTGAGTCCCAATAATATGTTAAAATTAGCTGAATTAACTTTTTAATTGTGAATAGTGAAAATCATTGGAAGAAAGCTTTTTAGTCTCCCTCCTCCTCAGTGTGATATAGCCAATATGGAATTTCCCCTCTATTCGCACTGTGGAAGGAATCACGGTAAACATCACAGGCCCATCCTTAGGGTTCTAGTGATCTGCTTAATTCAAGTTTTTGTTGCTGTGTCCTCCTGCTCACATGAATAAGTGAAATCTGAAGCCACGAATGATAGGAGTTCTATTTAGATACTTGTTCAGTCAGGATGGTTAGTGGACCTTAGAAATAAAAGCAAGTAACTCTTAAGTTATAAAAGCCCCCCAAAAGTCCAGAAAATCTGTGAGTATCTTTTTTGTTGTTGTTGTTGCTATTTAATGAACAAGTACAGGACTCTTATCTCAGAAAGTTTTTCTTAGGTGATTGGCTATTTTTCTGTATCCTAATTTTGCATAGAATGGAAGCTAAATGCCTATTCTATATACTTCTGCTTGTTGAAGGAAGAAATCGTGAACTAGATAAAATGAAACCAAGTGGAGAACATAGAGAAACATAGCAATAAACTCAATCTTATAACTGATTGTCAGTCTTCATTATACATATCTCTTTCAAATGTTAACCTTGAAGGATGGCTACATATTGATGAATAAAGATACCTCATATCTGTGTTGTCTATGAAAAAACATTTTTCTTTTCTTAATCTGTGATGATTCTGTTCTATATTCAGACTTTCACCAAAGTCTGTGAAAGGTGTCAGGGTCTTTAGGTTACAGCAGAGCTATTTTTCTAAATGATTCTCCGTGTGTTGTTTCAGTTGGGAAAGTCTTTCATGCATACTGTGCTTGAGAAATTACATCCCTTCTTTCCTATAGAGAAGCGGTGACTTTTTATCATTCCAGGAATGAAGGCTTTATTTTTCCCTAATTGAGGTAGTCAGTCTATCTTCCACATTATAATTCATCTGGCTACTTCTTGACCTTCCTGACCAGCCATGAGAGTATCTTCCAGACAAAACAGAATGTTTTGGAATGAACATTCTGTTATTCAGTTTCCTTTAGATTAAGAAGTTTCCTTTGTAATCATAGACATTTTATCACCTGTAGGAGCTAAAAATTGTAATCAAAGATGCAGAAAATGTTTATAAAGGTTTATTTATAGAAGACCTTCCCCTTGTCATTTTAGTATTAAATGGGCTGATTGTTTCCTTTCTCCAAAACATATTTATAGTTCAGAAATATGTTATAGTTGGTTTTCTTAGTTTTAGTGATCATGATAGTGTTTTGTTATCATTCTGGTGTGGTTGTACGGTACGTAATAGAAATCATAGGCGATTTGAGTTGATTCCCTCTACATTGCTACGCATGTGAAGTTTATCTGTTTTTATTGTATTTTGGCTACTTTTCTTAACGGTTAGTTAATGGGCAGAAATGGTACTCTTAGTGAGAATTTTGGTTTGTAAGGTCACTTAGTCTTCCAACAAATATTTATTGAGTGCATACCTCATGCAAGGTATCATGCACAGTACAGCACAAAAAGATGTGTCAGATACACTTCTGCTGTGGGGGTTTCAACTTTAGTAGGGGTGATTCGCACAAATGTCTGATTCTTTAGAGGAGGGTAAGAGAGAACTTCCGTCTGAGACTATTATGAATAGTGCAAGGTGGAATTGACACTGGCTGTAGTGTTGAGGTATAGGGAGGACAATTACAGACATACTGGGAAACTAATAGTTGAAATGGGGGTGGTAATATGGGGCAAAGAGAAGTGAGAAAACTTGGGACATGTTTGCATCATCATGAACATTCGAGATGAGCTGAGCAGAACCAATATGAGGAGAAATGTGAGGTAAGGCCAGGTAGGAAGTTGGGCTGTGCCTGGGCAGCCTACCCATGTTTTGAATGGGGGGAGATATAGTCAGTGATGACGTTTAGAGGTAAAAGTCTAGAGGTAGGGCTTAAGAAGAGGTAGGAAGTTGCTGGATGAGAATGGTGTCACTAGAAATGGGGGTGGGAGTGAGGAATGAAACAGGATGCCAGGTGGAACTGACTCCAGTATGCACTGATGTGGTCACTAGAGAAGAGGGAAACCCGGGGCTCCAGTGCCCAGGGGACCAGATGGTCAGTGGAACCAGTACTAGAAACCGACATTCAAGGAGAAACTTTTGGAGTGGGATTGGAGAAAGAAGTTGCCTTTTGGAAACATTTTACTGCCATTACTTGAAGGACATTCAAGGGAAGCAGATTATAAAGTAGCTTAAAATATGCTGTGAGTTTTGAGAGAGATCTAGGGTACAGGGGTGTATATTCAGCTCTTGAAATCTTTTTTTTTTTTTTTTTTTTTTTTGAGACGTAGTCTCGCTCTGTCGCCCAGGCTGGAGTGCAGTGGCGCGATCTCGGCTCACTGCAAGCTCCGCCGCCCGGGTTCACGCCATTCTCCTGCCTCAGCCTCAGTAGCTGGGACTACAGGCGCCCGCCACCATTCCCGGCTAATTTTTTATATTTTTAATAGAGACGGGGTTTCACCGTGTTAGCCAAGATGGTCTCGATCTCCTGACCTCGTGATCCGCCCACCTCGGCCTCCCGTAGTGCTGGGATTCCAGGCGTGAGCCACCGCGCCCGGCCAGCTCTTGAAGTCTTAATGATGCCAAGTGGTAACTGGAGAAAGATGGGTAGAGGACTGAAGAGTGAATCTTGGAAACGTGCTGACAGTGAGAGGGTGGGATGAGGATGAGAGTGAATCTTGGAAACGTGCTGACAGTGAGAGGGTGGGATGAGGATGAGCAGGGCTGATGACAGAAGTCGAGGGGGCAGAGGGTGGGATTGTGCCATGGCAGTCAAGAAATTAGGTCAGTGTAAGCAAGAGGGGATGAGGCCAGGAGAATGAGGACCAGGAAGAGTCACCGGCCTTGCCAGTTAGGCCAGCAAGGATTTGTTACTTTTTAAAGGAACATTTTAGTGATACGACAGACAAACTTGGCCAGTGTTCCGGGGGTTTAGAAGTTGAGAGGTTATAAGGGAAATGCAAGTTGAATGCATTTGTTCCAGAAATTTTTATGTAGAGGGACAAGAGAGGATATGATAGATGAAGCTTGCAGCATCATGTGTGGGTTGTCAGGCCTGTCTTCAGAATCCTTGATTCTTTAGGTCTAGGGTGGGGTCTTAGAACTTGCATTTTTAGGTTGTGTCCAGATGATGCTGTCCCTGGTCTGGGAACCACACTTTGAGAACCCTTGTTCTTGTGTTTCAGGTTTCTTGATTTATCCATATAGAATGTGTTCCTTAAATCCTGTCTTCTTATACCTTCTCCTTTTAATGTATAGGTTTTTGAGTTTGATGTAAAATAATCCTGTTACTTACTAGTTAATGACTTAATGAGCTTTTAAAGCCCAAAACTATGTCTGCAGTCAGAAATTATAAGAATGGAAAGAGAATTTGATATATGTTTGTATCAAAGTTCTTGATATTCAGAAACCTCTTTTTCTGAATAGTACGTAGTCTGAGATAATAAATACTTCTCGAGTACTTAGTATGAGTACAAGTGCCTCTTAGAATGTCCTTCGAAATCCCTTGTTCCGTACCACTGTTTATGCTGTGATGTGTGGGCAGGCTTAGTCATGGCCAGAGCAGGCGTGGGGAAGGGGCTTGGGATGATGGCGCTGTGTGAGCACAGACTGCTCACCTGCCTTGCTGGCGGCATGCTGCTGTGCTCCCTCACCTCTCCAAGGCTCTCCATGGTGGGTTGCAGTTGTTTGCTTTTTTTCTAGCAGCTTGTTAGGGAAGGAATTAGGATGAAAAAAATACGTATTTTGTTTCTTATAGTTAATTTCTCTATATTAATCAGCTTTGTAGAATTTATTGTATTCATAGATATATTCAGACAAAAAAGTTACTTCTGATAGTGTAATGTTTGCCATAAGATTAATTAAATTTCTTGTTATTTGGTTTGGTATTGTTTTGAAAAAAGATTCTAATATTAGCACATATTTGCATTTAATGTGAATCTGTGACTTCTAGACTGGGTATTGTTTGTGTTGGCTTCTGTTTGTACAGAGTAAAGTCTCCTATCACTGTCACTTCCAGTTAATTTGATGTGGGCTAGGGTATGCTAAAAGTAAGGAAAATAAAATAATAGGAAGTTGGTCTGGTTTCCTGTAGGAAACCAATGAAGATGAAATTGGTTCTTGGAATAAACCCACAGCAGTCTGGGAAATACTGACTGAAGACATTTTTCTGAATCATAAACAGAAAAATTATGACTCATGAAGTAGGTCATTGAAAGGCTGGTTTGATCTTATGTGGGAGAAAGTGAGAGATGACTGAAATGTACTAGTTATTAAAAGAAGTTAAACCTAGCATGATGACATCATCCAAGTAGGAACAAATTATCCAATTTGTAGTCCTGCCCATTTGATGGAGAAAACGTTTTGGGAAACTGCTTTTTTGTTGTGGTTGTGTGGTTGGTTGGTTTGTGTATTTTTTGCTGTGTAATAGTGTTTCTTAATTGTTTAATTGCTGTCCTGATTTTCGATTTGTCCCCCATTTCTTGCAGCTTCTTTAATA